ATGCCTATTAGTAATTGAAGGTATGCTTATCAAAAACAAATTAAAGGGAAAAAAACCCACAACATCACTGATCGTATGATATTTTTTTCCCACTTTCATTTACGTGTCATATGAAGCGTGACTTGAGTTTCATTGCATTAGATACCTTGTCTTATACGTTGTATAATTTTGTTTCGTTCTCTCCAACAAGAACGAAAACGATAGCAAGGACAGCGTTAGTGTGATTTTTTTTCTCATTATGCATATGATTGACATGCTGATAATGTGAACGAAACAAGAAAAAATGTAATTTCAATTTTAATTGAGGCAATAGTTAAATAGCGATTTCTACTGGCCAAATAGACTGTTATTGAAATTTGAAAATTATGAAAGATCGAAGTAATTATCACCAATTTAAAATGAATGGAACACTTAAATGTAGATTTTACATATTAGTATAACAATAAACAAGCAAAAGTTTTATATCAGTTATCATCCAAATTGCATCTAGAAACACCCCAAAATCATAGTGTTTGCCATGTGTAGAATGAATAGTTCATCACTCAATCTTGCTACAGTAATTTTTACTTTTTATTCATTCGTATTATGTGTATAATAAAAAGAAATTTTGTTTTCTAATGTTATATTAGCTGCTCTTCTTTTATTAATTTCTACGATTCATCAAGAAATCATATTCAAAATTTGTTTTGTTTTTTCATATTTATTTGTTTGAATAAAGAAAGATGACATCATCAATGCTTAACGTGATCATTATATTTTTTTTAACTTACATAAATTTGTATTACAAGTACATAACTAAAAAATTATGTTTTCGGTAACTGAGAAACGGTCTAGTTATAATTTATTTTTTTTATTAACACTCATTAGTAAGCTCATATCAGAACTGATAAAGAAATTGCCAACAGTGAACAAATAGTAACATTGCATTGCTATTTTCTACACAGAGTATTGAAAAAATGTAGTAAAAGTTTTAAATGTAAAAATGATACAGATAATATCAATACACTTGTGATATCGCGACATGCTACTGTTTCATATATTTCTAAGTTTTTTATTCATTTGACTGATACACATTTTGATTCCTAACCAACAATAACTGATTAAAAGAAATTAAAACAACAAAAAATTGTGTTACTATGCACAACGAGTAACTAAATTCATATAAACATAACCATGAGAACTAATAACTGGCCATTTAAAACCTACTCAAGATTTTACGATCTTCAATAAAACAATAGTATATCAAAAAATTTTAAAAATATGTAGTTTAATTTAATTTTTGTTGTTTTAGTTCTTTTCATCAGTTCTCGTTTGTTATGAATAAATGTTAACTCATGTTACAGATGATGTCTTCTTTGCTAATCATGATCGTACTCAAAAAGAACGAAAATTTCAGTTATATATGTAAAATTAAATTATACTCCATTTCTTTAAAATTTTCTGATGTACTGTTGTTTTATTCAAGTTTACGTATTCCCTTATTGAATAACTATTGTAAATAGATGTCAGTAACTGTAGAATATTTTTATTGATACCAGTTGTATGACATCTGACTTTATTGAAATAACTAGATACAATCGAACTCAACAATTATTAGTTTTCTCTTTCTCAATTGTTCATGATATGGATATTTAATTATATCTAATCTTGTTATTTTCAGTCGTGATAGCTATGAAAAATTTTATTTGTTCAACATTCTATATTGAGATTTTGATTTGTTTCTCAATAAAAACCATCTGTTAATTTGAAAGAATATTAACATACTTTCAACTATACGAAAATAATCAAAAACACTGATGAAAATGAAATTTGGTTATCTATTTGATTTGATGAATAAAATGTTTTATTTTACAAGAATGTTTTCGCGGTTGTGTTTAAAATAGGTTTTTTTGCCGTGGTATCAAAATCTTTTTACACAAGTATGTTTCTAATAGAATTCTGTAATCATTGATCCTCTTTTTAGTGAAATAAACATGACAGCAGTTCAATCATTTTCTGTTTGACAACAACATTCATCAATGACATACAGTTTTTTCTATATTTTCTAATCATTTCAAGTATGGTTCTTTTGAACGTATATATCAAGAATAAACATTATAGTGGAAATGAAACGTTTGGTATATTTGTTTTTGGATACCAACAGATGCACATGGCGATTCTGAGAATGATAAATGATAGTGTGAGTATTATGACTGTGATCGGTCAGTATTATTTTCAAACCCTCATCTCACGTTCCGTGTGCATCTTTCGTATATTCCTCGTGTTAGTTGAATCCATCAAGTCAAAAAGTTTTGGACCCGAACCTAATTCTTATTCATAATATCGTCAATAATCTACATATTTTTCATGACCATCTTGTCAGTGATCATGTAAGAATGTGGACATAACAGAGTATTACTTTTAGAGTAACAACTATGGGGTTAGACCCTGACTCAACGGGCTCCATTAGTCACTGGATGCTGTGCTCGTCATTGTAGATCGATCCATCATCATTATTTGTAGTAAATGGCTTGCCGATAGTATATAGATCTGAAGAGCGTACTTTTGCAAGTAAATACTTGTGCGCTTC